AGGATGTGTTTTCATTCTCATTTGATTCTATGAATTTCTTTATTCCATCCTTAATTCCTTCTATAACCCAGTAGTTTTTGAGCAAGGTGTTGTTAAGTTTCCATGTGTTTGATTTTTTTCCCTTGCTTTCTCTGTTGTTGATTTCTATTTTTATGGCTTTATGGTCAGAAAAGATACTTTGTAATATTTCGATGCTTTGGATTTTGTTAAAGCTTGCTTTATGGCCTAATATGTTGTCTATTCTGGAGAATGTTCCATGTGCATTGGAAAAGAAAGTATATTTGGCTGCTGTTGGGTGCAGTGTTCAGTATATGTCTATGAGATCAAGTTGGTTGATTGTAGCATTTAGTTCTTCTGTGTCTTTTTTGAGCTTCTTTCTGGATGTTCTGTCCTTCACCGAAAGTGGCATGTTGAAGTCTCCTACTACTATTGTGGAGCTGTCTTTCTCTCTTTTCAGTGCTGTTAAAGTTTGTTTTATGTATTTTGGAGCCCTGTCATTAGATGTGTAAATATTTATTATAGTTATGTCCTCCTGGTGTATTGACCCTTTAATCATTATATAGTGTCCTTCCTTATCCTTTGTGGTGGATTTACTTTATAGTCTATTTTGTCAGAGATTAATATTGCCACTCCTGCTCTTTTTTGAGTGTTGTTTGCTTGAAATATTTTTGTCCATCCTATGAGTTTTAGTTTGTTTGTGTCTTTAAGTCTAAAGTGTGTTTCTTGTAGGCAGCATATAGACGGATCTTTTCTTTTAATTCAATCTGCCACTCTCTGTCTCTTTATTGGTGCATGTAGTCCATTTACATGCAGCGTAATTATTGATAGGTATAAGTTAAGTGTTGTCATTTTGATGTCTTTTTTTGTGTGTAGTTCACTGTTTCTTTGTTCCACTTAATTTTCTGTGCTGAGTTGTTTTTCTTTATGTATTTTCTTTTCATCTTTTTCTTTGTTGTTGATTTTGTGTTTGCTGAGTCTTTATATGTTTCTAGTTTTTTATTTTGACTTGTAGGATTGTTAGTTTCCTTTGTGGTTACCTTAATATTTACCCCTATTTTGGTAAGTTAATACCAGTCTTTTATTACTTTATATCGCCTTGACTTACTCTCCATATGAAAAATCTGTGTCTACATTTTTTAAGTCCCTCTTTTTTGTTTTAATGTTGTCATCTTTTATATATTGAAATCTGTTTCCCTATTTTCAGTGTTTTAGCTTTGATTTACTTTTGTGACTTCCCTTTCTGTACTGATATCTGGTTGCTCTGTCCTGTGTTCTAATCTTGGGTTGTTATCTGATGTTACTGATTTTCTAACCGGAGGACTCCCTTTTGTATTTCTTGTAATTTTGGTTTGGTTTTTGCAAATTCCCTAAACTTCTGTTTATCTGGAAATGCCCTAATTTTGCCATCTTATTTGGGAGACAGTTTTGCTTGATATGTAATTCTTGGCTGGCAGTTGTTTTCCTTCAAGACTTTATGTGTGTTATCCCATTGCCTTCTTGCCTGCATGGTTTCTGCTGAGTAGTCCGAGCTTAGTCTTACTGACTCTCCTTTGTAGATAACTTTTCGTTTATCCCTAGCTGCTCTTAAAATTCTCTTTATCTTTGATTTTGGCAAGTTTAATTATAATATGTCTTGGTGACTTTCTTTTGGGATCTACCTTTTGTGGGGTGCGATAAGCTTCTTGGATAGATATCTTCTTATCTTTCACTATATCAGGGAAGTTTTCTGCCGACAAATCTTCAACAATTCTCTCTGTATGTTGTTATTCGCACCTGTTTTGGTACTCCAATCACTTGTAGGTTATTCCTCTTGATGAAATAATTCTTAGGGTTTCTTCATTGTTTTTAATCCTTTTTTATCCGATTTTACATCAAATAAGTTGATGTCAAGTGTTTTTCTTCAATCTCACTAATTCTGACTTCCATTTCCTTAATTCTGCTCCTATGACTTTCTATTGAGTTGTCTAATTCTGAAATTTTATTGTTAATCTTCTGGATTTCTGATTGCTGTCTCTCTATGGATTCTTGCAGCCTGTTAAATTTGTCATTACGCTCTTCTCTAATCTTTTTAATTTCCTCTATTGCCTGTTCTGCCTTTTGATTATTGTCCTTCTTAATCTATTGAAGAGTTCTGTATATTAACCTGTTTTATTCTGCCTTCAGTAATTCCAAGAAATTTTCCTCCTCTGGAAAATTTCTAGATTATTTATTTTGGGAGCTTGCTGAAGCCATCATGAATTGACTCTTTATGTGATTTGATATTGACTAATGTCTCCAAGCCATCAATAAATTACTATATTTATTTATTTTATGTTCGCTTACTGTGTTCTAGCTTCTTGTTTTGTTTCGATATGCCCAAATAGGCTACTCATATGAGCTAGTTTGATTATTGGCAACTTTGAAACTCTGATGTCCTGTCACCAGATGGTTAGATCTATTACTAGGTATGTGAGCTCAGGAGTCTGCCCACTCCTTCTGTACGGATTCAGTTCAGGTGCTCAGGTAGATAGGCAGCAAGTATGTGGTGCAAGCTCTCACCTACAGTCCTAGACAGGCATGGACGAGTGGTGTAGGCACAGGCTTCTGGCTGCAGCAGAAGGACACACTCTGAGCAAGGCAGGGGGCTGATGGCCACCCCTGAGTGTCCAGGAGGTAGGTGTGTCCCTGTTCCCTAGAGCGTGTAGGTGGGTGGGTTTTGCAGCCAGACTATGAGCACCCAATGCTGTTGACTGTGAGGACCGGGGGTATCTCTTATTCTTGAGCCCCTATTGCAGGTGGCTAGGTGGCGTGGGTGGAGCCACCAGTCCTCAGTCCCCTGACGTGGGTATATGAAGACCCTGCTTAATGGGCAGAGCAGTGTCAAATATCATGAACTTGACACATTGTAGCTGAAACAGTTGAAGTTAGACTTCAGGTATGTACCCTGTTGTACTGCAGTAATGAGGGCCCACACTGTTGAGATGGACCCACACAAGTCTCTGCAGGGAAAAAGGCACTCAAAGTCCATGGATCCCTTATGTCTGTGCCTAGGCAAAGGAGCTGTGCCTACCCTGGGTTCCTGGCTTAGGGGAGCTGGCAGTTTATTTTTTCCCCTGTTTGTTAATTTGTTCACTCTCCAAGCCCAGGAGAATGGCTCAGGGCATGTGACAGATCCTACTTCTGGCCCAGGGGACTCAGCAATTGCTGAAGCTGGTCCAGGACCCAGTGCAGAGTATGGAGTGGGGAGATAAATGGGAGAGAGGTTTTTTCCCTAAGGGGGGTGTTTTTGATCCGCACAGTAGGCCATACGCAAGTACTTATCTTTTGCTGATCCAGGGCTGCTTCTCACTGGTTCTGGGTGGCCAAGTAGACTGTCTAGTGCTGAGTCTCTCCTGGTGCAGAAAACGCACCTCCCAAGCACTGCTGCTTGCCTGCCTCATCGCTCACCCATGTGCTGCTCAGGCCTGAAGGGCTCAGGCTCTCTCTGGGTCAGATCTGGCAACTCCTCGCTGCTTCTGAACTGTCTCTCTCACCGCCTGCCACTCAGTCCGGTTCCTCAACTTTGCTTGAGATTTGCAGGTCTCCTAGATTGTCATATATAATTGATTCACTTGTTTTTTCAGTTCTTTGTTTTAAGAGGGGCCACTGGAAGCGTCTGACTACTTTGCCGTCTTTGCCCCGCCTCTCTTGGTGCTTTCCTTGATTTTGTAGAAATTCTCTTAGAGTGTGTGTCAATTATTGCTTTAGACTCTCCTCTTTGGGAAAAACATAGACTGAAAAATATGCGGTGAAATTTTCACCACCTGAATTGCATGCTTACCTCTGATACTTTAAATGTGAAATGAGGCTTCAGGTAACTTGTAGACTTTGATTTTAATAATTCACATAGTATCAACTGATCTCAAGCCTTCCCTTTAGCTTCTTTCCTTGATGTCTTTTTCTGTTTTCTCCAGATGATTTCCTCAGCATCAATGAATGAATAGTGTGCATGCATGATGCTACCTTTTCTATTTTCTTTTCACCACAGCAAAGAAGAAATCTTGATTCAGTCCTTTAATGGTGATAATCACATTTGCAGAGTTAGATTTCTGTGAGCTGGTCCTTTGGTCAAGAACACACCTCATGTGGGAAATAGGGGAAAGGAAGGACGGAAGGAAGGGGCGAGGGAGACAAGAAGGTCTATCAGGTGCTGCTTTTTGTTCCCCCTATGTTTCCAGGGCCAGTGCAGAGAGGTTCCAAATGAAGCAGAGAATGGAAAGCTTAGACAGTCTGGACATCCCTTGACCTTCATTGCCAGGATAAGTGCAGTGAATCCGAGTCTCAGGCCAAGAAAAGACTTCTTATAAATAAGGTTGAGAAAAACCACCAAGTTAAGAAGGGCAAAAGCCAAGTTAACTTTTTCTTTCCCATTTTTTAGGATGAGTGCAGTAACTTTCGGCAGTACGTTAGGAGTGAGTCACTCATCTGCACTCAAGAGAATGACCCTGTGCGTGGTGCCGACGGAAAGTTCTATAAAAACAGGTGCTTCATGTGCAGAGCTGTCTTGTGAGTAAAAAGTTTCTTTCCTCCTTCAGCTAGCTGAGGGACTGCATTTCTAGAAACTGCTGATTTAATGAATATGTCTTTAGATTAAAGGTCCTTAAGTTGAGACTCCTGATATAGTAGAAAGAACCCTTAACTTGGAGACAGGAAGTCTGAATGTAAGTTCTAACTATGCTACTTATTAGTTGTGTTACTTAAAACAACAACAACAAAGACCCTTCAACTCTTAGGATCACGGTTATAAAAATTTGTCCCAGATCTTCGTTCTGCAACTAGACTGGTCATCAAAGAAATCTTTTTTTTTTTTTTTTAATATATATTGTAGTTTAGATGAAGGTTTACAGAGCAAATTAGGTTCTTATTAAATAATTAATACACATATTGTTTTGTAACATTGGTTGCCAACCCCACAACATGTCAACACTCTCCCCTTCTCGACACTGGGTTCCCCATTACCAGGTTTCCTGTCCCCTCCTGCCTTCTTGTCCTTGCCCCTGGGCTGGTATGCACATTTAGTCTCATTTTGTTTTATGGGCCTGTCTAATCTTTGGCTGAAGGGTGAACCTCAGGAGTGAATTCATTACTGAGCTATAAGGGTGTCTGGGGAAGAAATCTTTTTTTAAATACAGATTTTTACGACCCAAAATACATTAAATCAGAATCTCCAGGGCTAAAGAGTTCATTTTTTAGAAGGATTCTCCAGGTTATTTTGACAAGCAACCAGACTGGGGGACAAATGGACATGGTAGGTAATGATTGATGATGATGATGATTATGTTGGTGATGATGATGATGATGGTCGTCATAATTACTGTGAACACAACAATAATAATCAGTGTTTATTTAGCATTTCACAGTATGTTCTTTGAGACAAGAATTAATACTGTCCTCTTTGTGTTCTAGGAAATCAGAGCCCGGGGAGTTTAGGCATGTTATCTAACACGATTAAGTGATGAGATCTCTAAATCATATCCTCGTTGTGTGTGTTGTTTTCTTAATATACAGCTCTGGTCACTCTGTGATGGAATGTTTTATGGTTCTGTTATGTTTTATTAGTATTGATTAACTTCCTACAGGCATAAGGAGCGGTTCTTGTGAATAACATTTAAAATTATTTTTTTGTCTCCTTCTCTAGTCAAAAACAAGCATTGGAAAAGGCAAGAATTCTAGAAAAGCCAACTCATGTTGGATCTTCTGAAGAAGAAGACGGCCCAGATTCCCCCAATATTTTGCTGGTAAGAATGACAATTTTTGAAAAAAACTGCTTGTCAACTTAATGCTCTTGATTTTTTTAGGCCTGTTGCCTGTTGCTCTCCATAAACCCCAATCCTATAGAAAGGGCTGAGGAACGATGGTTCGATGCAGCCTTAAGTCCTTTCAGGACAGTGCAGTTCATGCTTGGTGAGAGCTCTGGGACTACTTATCAGTGCATTATCCTGTGTTCTTTGAGCCCTTTTCCAAGCCAATTTAGTACATTTTGCAATTTAAAATAATTATGTGTAATGAGTGTAACTGGTCCCACATGTGGTCAAATAAGTAGTTAAGATTGTTAGGTGCTTCGGTTCTGTAATTTCAGGAGACCAAAAAGCTCATCACACCTCACCTTAAGTCCCTTTCCCCAATCAATTCATTTTCCCAAAAGCCTGGAAGGCTATCCTTAGCATGCTCACACTTGTGAAATTCCATCAATCAGCAATTCACAGTGGTGAAAACTTTTTATTTAAAATACAGACTGATGGGCCTCAGTGATGTATTCCTCAGTGTAAATTAGCCTAATCAGATATACTTTTTAGAGTTTTGGCAACATGAGTGGTGGAAAGGCAATGCGGTATGAGAGCATGAAGTAGCTTCATGAAATGGAATTTAAGGTAGGAACTTAAGAAGGTGACTTTATCACCTGGACTGGTGACCCAAAAAAGGAGAAAGAAAGATATCAAAAATGAATTTTATCTAAGCATTTGCCCAAATCATCTAGAATAATAGATAAGCTGCACAAGTGGAATAAACATTAATTACATATTTCCAGTTAATTAAGCACTGCAACAGGGATCCCTAAGGGTGGAGAAGAGCTATTCACAAAATCTATCCTTGTTTTAAAAAAAAAATTTTATCAAAGTATAATCATTGTCTTATTTGCTGTTGAGTTGATTCTGATTCATGATGATCCACGTGTGCAAAGTAGATCAGCTCCATAGGTTTTCAAGCCCATGAGCTTTTGAAAGCAGATCATCAGGCCTGTCTTCAAGGTGCCTCTGGGTGGGTTTAAACCGCCATCTTTTCAGTTAGTAGTCCAGTACTTAACAATTTGCTTCACCCAGGAGCTCCTAAAGTATAATACTCATAGAGAAAAAATGAAGATATCGTAAGTTTATAGCTACACGAAATATTACAAAATGATCACACCTATGTTACCATCACCAAAGTCAAGAAATAGGACATCACTTACAGATCAGAAACCCCCTCCTGCTTCTTTGTAATCCACAATATTGTTCTGAGCTGAGCTTTCTCTTGGATAAAAAAGTCATATTTATTATTCATTGTTTTATCCATCCAACAGTCCACTTACTCATCCAACAGATATTTATTGAGCACCTACTGTGTTCCAGACATTATTTCTGTGTGCTGGACTAATAGCCATACACAAACTATGCAGAATTGTTTACACTCATGGAGTTTATATTATTTTGTAAGAACAGAGACAATAGGTAATGTGAATAAGTAAAATATACCAAAGAAAACATTAAGCTGGAAAAGAGTATAGTATATGTTGTGATTAGGGGAGGAGGAAATACAATTTTAAATAGCATGTACAGGAAAAAGCTCTCCAGAAGGTGATATTTGTAGCAAGGCCTAAAGGGATTGACTCCACATGCATACCTGAGGGGAGAACATTCCAGGAAGAGAAACAACAAAGCCTTGAGGAAAACGTCACAGAACAGCAGAGTCCAGTATAGTAGAAATGGGGTGACCTCGAAGAGAGATGTAGAAGAGTAAGTCAGAAAGGTAAAGGGAGGCCATGCTGTATTGGATTTTGCAGACCCTTTTAAGGACTTTGGCTCTTATTCTAAGTGAGACTTTTGAGAAGAGTTGTGACTTGATCTGATTATGTTTTAAAAGAATAACACTGGCTGCTGTATTGTAAATACATTGCAGGGAGACAAGGGGAGAATCTGGCCATTGCATTAATTCACATAGGAGATAATGATAGCTTATACCACGATGATAGTGGTGGAGGTCATGAGGTATGTTTGCATACTAGGTATTTTTAAACATAGAATCAACAGAATATTTCCACAGAATTAAAGTAGTATGTAAAAAAAAAAAAAAAAAAAAGAGAGAGAGAAGTATTTTGTCTTTGTTGCCTCTGCTGCTTCTTTGTGTTGCTTTTTCCTGGTAGTTTCGAATCCTGTAGCAGCAGATACCTGAATAATACTAAGGGTATCCCTAGTTCTGTTCTGTTTTTGCTGGGGTTTCATAAAAGGTGCTTGTTTAAGTTCTGCTTGAATATCTATACTGAATTGGAACTCACTACAATCTAACTCACCACAATCTAAAGTAGGTATTTAGCAAAACAAACAGCAAATACTTCTTTCCTCTTCTGGAATGAACGTCAACAGATATAATACTATTAAATGTTTTAGTCCTTCCCAGTATCTGTTTCAGAAAGTGGTTTTCAATGGATTTGGTAATTTCATATTGGCTGCCAAATTTATCGGCAGTTATCCATAATATTTTCACATTATTCTGTTAAGATAGTATATGTAGTGATGTCCCTTTTTCTTTTCTTTCTTTGCTTAAAACAACACAGATATATTATCTTACAGTTCTGGATGTCAAAAGTCCAAAGATATGATGAAATATAATAATAATAATACCATAGTTCTGGACAGCCTCTAAGGCTGAGACTGATCTAGGAGGTCGAATGGAAGAAACTTTCTCCACCTGCTGTCATAAGATCGATTTGTGGACTCTGTATTTGTTGCCTTGGCATCCATCAATTCCTCCTACTTGCCCTTTTCTCTAGTTTCTGACATGGCCATTCCTATCTTGTCAACCAGTCTCTCAACAATAGGTGGTCACTCCTTGCTCCTCCTGGCCACACCCCATTTGGTTTCCTGTGACTGGAATCTGTTGCTATCTATAGCCCAGACTCTCAACAGTGTAGTCGCTCCTTGTGTTTTTTTGCCTTTTTAAGCCAATTTTGCAAATGGTTTATCAATTTATTAATTTTTTCAAACAATCAACTTTTGGATTTGTTCTGTTTTCTATTTCATCAATTTCTCTATTTCTTTTCTATTCTCTTTGGGCTTGATTTGCTCATAATTTTCTAGCATCTTCAGATGGATATTTAGATTTTGATTTTAACTTTTATTTATTTCTACTATATGTACTTAAAGTAATAACTTTCCCTCACATCACTGTTTTTGCTGCTGGGTTTAGATAGTTTATATTTTCATTTTAATTCAGTTCAAAACATTTCTAAATTTTATTATGATTGCTTCTTTGAGCCATGGGCTATTTAGGAGTGTGTTGCTTAATTTATGAATACTTGGATATTTTCTAATTATCATATTGATTACTAGTATTATACTAGAGTAATACTAGTATAATACTAGTATAATAATATAAATTGAATACTAATTAACAGGTTCCCTGGGTGTTGCAGATAGTTAAGCACATGACTACTCACTGAAAGGTTAGCAGTTCAAAACTATCCAGAGGCACCGTGGAATACAGACTCGGTGATCTCCTTCCAAAAGGTCACAGCCTTGAAAACCCTATGGAGCAGTTCTACTCTTCATACGTGGCATCGCGATGAATCAGAATTGACTTGACGGCAACTAACAAAAACTAGTATAATTCTATTGTGATCAGAGAACTTAATCTTTATGTCTTCAATGCTTTAAATTTATTGGCCTATTTTGGTAATTGTTTTCATGTGTACTTGAAAAGAATGTATAATCTGCAGTTGGATGTAGAGTTCTATACATATTATGTAAGTCAACTGGTTAATATTGTTGCTCAAATATTCTGTATCTTGATTTTTTTGTCTTTTCTGTCAATTACTGAAAGAGCTATGTTAAAATTTCCAATTATGTTTGTGAATTTGCCTATTTTTTCAGTCAAATTTTCTTTATGTATTCTTTAATTGTTATTGAGATGAAATTCACATAACATTAAATTAGCCATTTTAAACAGAACAATTCTGTGTCATTTAGTACATTCACGGCCTCTAACTGTATTTAGTTCTTAGACATTTTCATCACCCCAAAGTAAAACCTTTATTAAAAGTAAAAACTTTATTAAGCAGTTACTCCTCATTCCCTCCTCCCCTAACCTCTGACAATCACCAATTTACATTTCATTTCTATGGAATTAACTCTACTGGATATTTCATTAGGAGCCCTGGTGGCACAATGGTTAAGTGCTGAGCTGCTAACTGAAAGCTCAGAGGTTTGAACCCACCAGCTGTTCTGCAGCAAAAAGATGTGGCAGTCTGCTTCCATAAAGATTATGGCCTTGAAAATCCTATAGGGGCTGTCCTATAGGGTTGTGGAGACTCGGAATCAACTTGATGGCAACGGGTTTGGTTTAGTTTTTGGATACTTCATATAAATGGAATCATATAATTTTGACCCTTTGTGACTGGTTGTTTTCACTTAGCATGATTTTGACAGTCATCCATGTGGTAGCATGTATCAGTATTTCATTCCTTTTTAAGGCTGAATAATATTCTGTTGTATGTACATACTACAATTTGTAAATCCATTCATCATTTGATAGACATTTGGGTTGTTTCCATCTTTTGGTTTTTAGGAATAGTGCTGCTATGAACATTTATTCAAACGTAATTGTGGAAATCAAAAGTTTTTCCCAAGCCAATCCCTGGCCTTGAGTGCCATTGAATAAGTCTTTTTTTTTTTTTTTTGGCTTGTTCAGGATTCTGATATGTGCAAACACTATCGAGTATTGCCCAGGGTGGGTTACCTTTGCCCAAAGAACTTACAGCCTGTCTGTGGTGATGATGGCCAGACATACAACAATCCCTGCATGCTCTGTCATGAAAACCTGTAAGTACACAATTCACACGAGCATATCTTGCAGTGTAGAGGTTCTCAATTATAGCTTTGAGCCACAGTAGTACACTGATATCAATCTGATGTGTATTGCAAGTAATTTATTAATCACAGCACTTAAAAATTCCAAATTGTGAATGACCATACTTATACATAAAATAGAGAGAGATTAAGGTTATCCCTTTAATAAAATTGCTTATTTATAAAATAGAGAGGATTTAAGGTTATCCTTTTAATAAATTGCTTACCTACATTGTTATATTCTTTACTGAGTGGAAGAGAAAGAGAAAAATGGTGGGGCTACAACAAATTAGGTAAAATCTCGATAAGCCTGTATACACTAAAGGGAGTGTGAATTTCACCTGTCTTGTTGGTAGCAGAGAAAAAAACAGTTGAGAACCACTGCTGTGTACAGTCAGCCCAGCGTATAACCGATAGAGCACCCTACGACTACATAATCATCACTGATTGCTCGCTCTGTCTAAGACTTTAGCTTGGTGGAAAAGGTGGTATCATTCCAAAGACAGAGCAGACTGGAACAAATGGCAGACCTGGCGCCTGTTCTCAGATTTATTACTATCTGTACATCTGTGGGCATATTAGCTCATCATTCTGAGCCTCTATTTCTTCATCTGGAAAGTAGATGCAGTTCTCTGAGCCAGATGACTTCACAGGGTTATTGAGAAGGATTGCTAGATATGAAAGTATTTTATTTTTACTTTAGGTTAAATAAAAAAGATTTAGCTTAATGCTTTCATTTTTGCTCGTAGCTTTGTTATTGCTTATCTGCTCAAATGGTATCTGGTTTTGGTAATACATTTTTAACACCTCGACACACACTCCTTCCAGCCTCCATTTGTCCAGCTTTAAATGAGAACATGTGGCAAATCTTGACTTTTCCACCCTACTCCACCCCAACCTGACTTACATTGAAGTCCAGGTATGTCCTTCTTAGGATACAGTAAACAGAGAGGATAGAACTCCCTGATATCCTGCTCTGCAATCTGGAAAAAAATATTTAAATTCACATTTATTTCCTTTATAATGAAGCTTTTTGAAGAACAAGCTATTCCTCAGTTTATATACTTAAAGTAGTATAAATATGAGTGCTTTATACATTCTCATATTTGTAGGTAAAGTATATTCACTCACTAAATCCTTAACAACCTGCTATAGAGTATTATCTTCTTTGTACAGAGGAATAAACTGAGGCTCAAAGAGTCCAGGAAATTTGTTCAAAGCTAGGACATATATCAACCAGGATTTTAACATTGTTCATTTGGGTCTAAATACAATTTTATTCTCTCCTCACTATACTAGCATTATATCCAAGGCAGTAGTTCCTTAAACATTTGGGTTCCAAAGTTTATTTTAGTAGTATAAAGAAAGCTACCTCTTTCCAAAAAAGGAAAAGAAAGATTTATGTGCATTAACATCTGTGGGTTCATGGAACACTTGAAATCCATCCATGGATCTTACAGTGTTTGAGGGATTAAGAAATCTTTGTTTAAGAAATGATTACAGCCCTCCAGGAATTTAGTCACTATATTTGCCTTATCTTCAGCCTTTAATTCTTTCCATTCCTCTTTGATGCGAAGATGAAGGCCTAAACTATCTAACTTTTTAAAGCTTTCCATTAACTATATAAATCCGTAAGAAGTGATTCTCTACTCAAGGGAACTTTAGATTCAGAATTCAAATTATAAAGATATTAATAAAGAATGGCTCAGGATGGGCTGTTTGGCTAAAGGAACTGGGAGTATATAATATGGAGAAGAGAATATTTATGCTATCCCGGGCAAGAAGGAACAGTATTGGTTTGTGCAGCCTTAGAGGAAGCTATGGGGAAACAATTTCACCTTGAGCAATGGTCAAAGACAAAATGGACTGCCTTACTAGATAACGAGGTTCCCATCACCAGAGGAAAACAAGTAGAGGCTTGATTCATAACAGTTTTTAAGAAAAAAGGTATTAATATTCATACCAGTTAATATCCTTTCCAATGTTAAGATTCAGACTGTATGATTGTGTCTTGTTATATTTTATATTCCCCGAGGCATATTATAGTTAATAAAGTGAAACTTCTCTCTGAGACTCAATTTTCCCGTCTATAAAACGATGGTTTTGGGACTTGATGATCATCAAATTTATTTCTAACATTCAATAATTCTATGACATTATAAGTAAATAAAATGTGACACAATAGCTTCAGGACCAGGGAACAAACCTGGAGCTAAATCAAGAGAGAGAGGCTGAACCTGGATAATGTCTACTGGACAATGGCTACATGCAGATCAGAGACCCTACCCCTTAATTTCAGTTCTGGCCTGATGCCCAAATGCCACCCACGTTGGTCCTTGCTGTTTTTTCATTGTGACAGTGTGTTTTCTCATCTTTGAAGTTTTCTCTGTTCTGTTTTAGGATACGCCAAACTAATACACACATACGTTTTATAGGGAGGTGTGAGGAGAATAGCACACCAGGAAAATCACCGCTCAGCCTGTCTACACCTGTAAGTACAAGGACGTTCCTGATTATGATGTTAGAACACATTGGTCCTGCTTCTGTAATTTTGCACTAGGTGATGAACATTTCTCTGATCATGGAAGTGATAGAGGTCAGTGATCCTAGAGTTAGTCACATTTTCCTGTTGAAGACAAGTAATTATTGGAATATGTGGGAATACTGATACAGCCATTAACCTTTTTAAAAATGTTTCTCATTTGCTGAGCTCATTAATAGATTTTTTTTATGAGCAATGTCTCTAATCTTCTAATACTTTTGCAGGGTAGATTTAAGTATCGCTGATCTACAATAAAAAGATGAGACAGAGATTAAGAGAAGTCAGATAGTAAGCGACAGAGCTAGATTAAAGTTGCATTAAACTGTCTCCCAGCATGGAAAGTTGACTTATTTCATCGAAACATCTTAAAGGGTGTTTCAACACTCATTACTGAATTTGGAATTGTCCTTGGTAGTTGTATTTGAGGAGTCTCTTCCTCAGGTTAGGTGGTATGTAATTTGGAAAAAAATAGAAATTTTCAAATAAGATATATCTGGGTTCAAATTCCAGTTTTTGATGTTTTTCAGATATGAGATCTTTGGCAAGTCACTTAAATATTGTAAGTCAAAGACTTCAGTGAATTGTTGAAAATATTTAATAAACACTGAATTTTAAGCATTTAGCACAATGTCTGACAAATTAATGTCATCTTTATTATTGTTGTCAGTATTATTATTATGCCTAAGAAGCTGAAGTATGAACTTATTAAAATAGAGACCCAAGTAGGAATTTATAGAAACAGATTTGGCACTATGTGCTCATTTTTAGTGAGAAACTTTGAAGATCATTTTAGTTAAGTATAGTATGGTTACAGTGAAGTTGATATTAGGGGACTGATCACTCTTACTTACTGAGTTAGCCATTTCCCAAAATGAAGAATGTGAACTGGATGTCTAAGTTTCCCTCCAGGACTTGAACACCTTGACATATTATCTTTGGTTAGTTTAACAAGTGTTTTTACTCCATTCCATGACCACAAAAAGCTTTGGCAATAATGGAATTGGAGACCATTCTACCAGATTTGGTGATCTTGGTCAAGCACACTGGATTAGAGCATAATCAAAAGAACTACTTAGGAAGGCTTTATACAAGAAATTGAGAAAACACAAGCTATTAGCTAGTGTGTTTCTGGTTTCACATTAGCAGCTGGAAGGCAGGATAAAGTAGGCAGAATACTGAGATGAAATCAAGAGACCTCCATTTTTTTCTTATACGGGTTTAACAAATTATCTACCTACTCTGGATCTTTACACATTCATAAAATGAGAAAGTTTCAATTTGTGTTCTAATCTCCACATTGCGTTTGCTGTCCTATTGAATATAAATTCTCTGTAGCTTGTTCTGCATTTTGTTGGCAGAATATACTTCCAGCCTTCCCACAAACACACCTAGTTATGTATGTCTCAGAACAGGGAGGTTAGAACGATGGCCAAAAGAATCCTTATACAAATCCTATAGAACACACCTTGGACTACTTCTTGAGTAATCCTCCTGCTGTTAGGCAACTTGACAAAAAATCTACTTTGTGAGGACCTTGCCAGAGAGTCATACAGATAAGATGTATTTATTCAAATAATGAGGAATCTTTCCAGGGTTTTGCATGAAAATTTTTCCTTCAACTAGAGTTGCCTAACAGACACTACTAATGGCAGGAGTTATTTTTGATGGTAACTTGTGAAACAGATCAATAGAACAAGAGGTGTTCTGGGAATGGAGAGAATTCAATTCCCTCTGTGTGATTCAGTGATGTAATTTTGGGTACAGGTGGCACAGGTGGGTCATGAAAGAGTTTAAAGTTGTATTCTAGTCCCCAGCCTAGCTCTGACAACTGTTCTCAGGTGATAGCCTGAGGGTTACAACTTATTGCCTGAACTTGCTTACTGAGTAGAAGATTCTTAGAGTCTGTAATTCCAAGAATGGAATAAAAGACAATGCAGTCATAACTTTCCTGGAAAAGTAGGTTAAGAATTCTGGAACCCATTCTTCAGCTTACTATTTAGCTGTACTTTCTATTATACAACAACTATTACACACTAACTACTAAGATTTATGTAGCTCTTTAGAGTTTTATGTGCATTTTCTTATTGGATCCTCACAATAGTTGTGTGAGTAGGGAGTAAGGAAGGGATCATTATCTTCCCCATTTTAAAGATAAGAAGCTTGGAGGCAATTGTATGGCTTACCTAAGTTATTTAGTATTAGAGCTGTGGTCCGGTGTAGATCTTCTGAGTTTATTTCTTATGCTCTTCCATTATCTCTTAGTTGCCAGGAGTTTCTGAAAACCATGTGCTCTAAAGAAGGTATTATATAAATTAAAAGAAGATTTGCTATGTTGAAAGAAAATTGTCGTATTAAGAAAAATACCAATATTATTCTATAAGACAAATAAATGATTCTTCTCTATTTCATGACAAAATTGTCAAGGATTCAGCATGATCATAGCTTGCCATGTTCCCACCAAAGGAAACCTTAGAGGCTTGATGTGAGAACTAAAAAAGGATGTCTGAGTTTAAAATGACAACACTGCTCATTCCCTAGATGGCAGTATGTGCTTCCTGAGGTCCTCTCCCCAACTTAAAAAAAAAAAAAAAAATTAATTAATATTGACTACATGGAAAAGTCAGGCAATGAAGACAGCTGATTAAATTCTAATGGCATAAAATTACAATAGAAGAAGCATTAGTAACAGAGGAATTGCATTCAAATCAAGCCCTAGTATGAGATTGTGGCAAGTCACTAAACTTCACTGAAACTCAAATTTCCTCATCTCTGAAATGGCGTAATGACACCTGCCTCATTTGGCTACTGGAAGAGTCATATGTAATCTAGGGCAGAGCTGAGCCATGTTCATTTGTGTATTCACTTTAATAATGGAATAATATTTAGCAGTACTTTCTATTCAGCAACTAGTATATACTAGGTAAAAATAAATACTTGTTGGATAAAATATGAAGGTGATTTAAAATTGTGAGTGTTTGGTTGAATGCAGGAATCTATGGATTCTTTTGTTCATGGTAAATCTGTAATCACACAGCCCATGTCTCTGCAGTATTCCTGAGTTTCTAGCATCTAACCTACCCATCTTTTCTTCTAGGATAAATGATGTGAGAATTGGTGAAAACTATGAGAGAAAAAGTATACCCCAGTTCTGAATCGCCTACCTTCACAGTCTGTATATACAAAGAATTCTTCTGAGCTCACCTTATTTACTATAGAAAACAATATCAAGCTGTCGGGGGAATGGACTCACTGATTTTCAGTCTTTTCCATCTCTTGCCTCCTAGACTCTGATTTATGGGCACATCTCCATCCTGTCTGCGTTCTGGAAACCTCCTGATCACAATGCTGTCTGTCCAACTGCTTGTTCAATAAAAGTAAACTCAGCAGAGCACCATTTCTGGAATTTCTTTGTCACTGCCTGGATAATAGGAACTTGTTTTAACAGATGCTGGATAAATCCTAACTTTTTGTCTTGAAAGCCCACTGGTAGAGAGAAAATGTCTACTTTGTTCAAATTAAAATTGCTGTCATAGATTGGAAAGAAGTATCTAGAAGAGAGGTAGGGAGATATGAGCTCCCAGGCAGCCACCAGCTGTATAAAGTCGAATGAGTTATGAATCCACCTCACCATCACAACCCATCACTGTACTAGCTTCTCCATCTAGCTGCTGTATTTCCATGAATAGCATAACTGTCTCTCAGTTGCATAGACCCCATCCAAAGATTCAAACCAATAACTTCTCATATCCAATCATGTTACCTCTTTATAATTTCCTGTATCAGAGCCTTTTACCCACAGACTAAGGAAACGAGAGTTACAAATGTGTACGAGTCTCTAAAGCAGTTCTGTCCAATAGACATATAATGACAGCCACATATGCAATTTTAAATTTTCTAGTTAACTACATTAAAATAAAGTAAAAAGAAATGGGGAAAATTAATTTCAATAATTCATTTTACTTAGCCTAATATAGCCAAACCATTATCATTTCAAAATGAAATATGTATATAAACATTTATTAAGTTCTTTAAATTGATGAGCATTTTATACTTACAGCACATCTTAATTTAGATCAGCCATGTTTTGAGTGCTCAATGTCTGCATGTGCGCTAAAAAAACCAAAAAACTTGTTGCCATCATGTGGATTCTGACTCATGGCGACCCCACATTTTGCAGAGTAGAACTGCTCCACAGGGTTTTCTTGGCTGTAATCTCTATGTATGCAGATTTCCAGGCCTTTCTTCTGTGGTGCTGCTGGGTGTGTTTGAACTGCCAACTTTTAGATTAGCAGTTCAGTACAAACTGCACCACTGGTGGGCTACATGTGGTGACAGGCTACCACATTAAACAGTGCAGTTCTAGTGGGAGCTGGTGGAGGTGGAAAACCTAACAAGGGATCCAAGTATTAGATACGGGTGGGATGAAACAATCTGTAAGCTCCTGCCTCTGTGCTGAAACTCTGTCCTTCTTAGACTCTTGCTACTGAAGCTTTGTCCCAGTACCTAGTTAACACATTCATTTGAAGACTCTGGGATGGTGCTGAACACACTCCCAAGGGTGACACTTATGAAGAATCCCTCATGGTCCAAATTGTTAGCTATAGAAGAACTGTGCCTGGGGTGACAGGCCTACTTGGAATTGAGAAGTTAATTTTTCATTTTTTCATCTGCTCTTTTTAAATGAGTACTCACTAGGCCAATTATAGTAGGATTTTTGTGATCTTTGCTCTTTGCAGCTGAGTGAAAATAAATCAACCTCTATGCTGTTTTCTTTCTATGTTATCATTAATAAAAGAAGGCTTGCAAATCATTTTTCAAGCATGAAAGATATAGAGTCATTTCAGAAAAAACTATTAGAAAATCCTGCTGAGTTATTTTCTTTGGCAATTCTGGGTGTACAAGATGGGCTTAGAGATCCTATGACATGTGAAATTGTGTCTCCTCCCTGGTCATTTCTAGGTAATCCAGAAACTTTATTTTCATGGCCAAAAGATATGCTGTTTGAGAAGTAAGGGTTG